TTTAAAATATCAAATGATGTTCTTTATCGAAATATTCGATTTACATTAGACCATCATTTTTCATGTTTCACGACATGTTTCACCTGAGGATGGTTCTTTTAGGAACTGAAACATGTCGTGAAACATGAAAAATGATGGTCTAATGTAAATCGAATATTTCGATAAAGAACATCATTTGATAATTTTAAATGTTTTAAATATTTTAAATGTTGAAATGTTAATTATTGTAATATTTTAATATTTAATAAGAATTTATTGTGATTAGACGGACAAGATTTAATATTACTTAAGTAGTTTGCTGTTTCTCGCTGTAGTCGCGCATAAAAAACAGACAGACTGCCAAATCAGTACGCAACAGTAATTTTCTTAAGTCGGAAGCAAATATAATCAGGCGTAAGGCATGAATTAAAAGTAGCAATGCGCATTCAGTTTCTTATCAGCCAGAATATTTGGTCCACGTTGTAGCGGCATGTAGGTATAAATTCCACCTGAACAAGATATTTTAGTGCTGTAAAGTTTCTGAGCTATCGCGAAATACTATCAGTGGCTGTGGGAGGTTTTACAGACTGTCGGTATGACTCCTTGGATGAATGATCAGCCCGTCGCAAGGCCTCTGTGCGTACACAGAAATGGGGTTAAGAACAGATTGAGTGTAGCAACTCTTGATAATCCTCACCATTTGATCTTCTTCGCCACAGTTGATATAAGTGGCGCACGCAGGGTCAGCGGACAAGTCATTTTGTTTAGTCTCCTTAGCTGAAAAGAAAAGAAAATGTCAAAATGACAATACCAAGGCAACTTTTCGTGGGTATTCCCAGTCCCTCCGGGCAAACGTTCCACATTCTTCCAATTCGGAATTCATAATCTCCCTGGGTTCTTTCCGATGCTGCATTGTCTGGGGTGCGCCGCCATCCCCTATCAGGGCGACGGATCGAGGAGGGATTATCTGAGCAACTGACAGCGTCGTTCTATACGCCACGAAGGAGGAGTGTTGGCGCAACGTAATTCATTCTGCACGCTCTCCTTATTTGTCTTCAGAATTCTTTTTTTCTTCTCATGACCTCGTTATAGTAAGGTTGGTCGTGCCTCACGCTGCCTCAATGCATACGCGGCCTATGGGACACTGCATGAAATTGGCATTTCGATTTTTTACAAAAAAAATTTCTGAGGTGTGCCGAATTCAAGTCTGGGGCTAGATCCCGCCTGTACTGATTAAATTAGTTACGTTTTCGTTTAACTTCCTTGAGATAAATCGTAAAATAATGCCTTAAGGTAGGCCACGACCGCTTCCTTTCACATGAGTCCGAACTTAAAATTCTGCCTCGGCGACACTGCAGTGTGTAATGAGACTGAAATTAAATAAAAGCGTTTTTTTTACCAGTTTCCCCTTAAAGCAGTCCCAGAGGACACCGGAAATACTTATTACAGCGTTCACATAAACTTTTGAAAGGCCTTTCAAACTCGGATGCTGTGATGGTCACGTTATTCTAAATGTCATCGGACCGTATCGAATCGGCGACCTTTGAATCTGAAATTCAGACCTGGGGAAACAGACGAGAGTCTGTTTTCCCAGGTCGACTAATTCGGGGTTTTCGGTCATCCACATCTTCTCTGCCCACTTGAAAACGGCTAGACAATAGAAATGTTTGTACTCGGGGGGGACAGAGTCTCATCCCGCATAAGCTGTTCATTCGTGTGTTTCAGTGGGGCTCTTCCCCCAGCTTTGTGCACGGAATTTGATGTTTGGCACGTTGTCGCATTGTAAACAAAGCTAGCCGTTTCTCGAAACAACGCATTCCCAACTGGTTACAGTTGGCGGCAGTGTCAAGGCCACACAATTCACAGCGCCTCCAGCGGACAACATTCGTACTGCATATTTTTATTTTATTTTCAGTCTCCTGGGTTTTTGTTCTACTACTGTGTATGTAAAAATCTAGTTACAAGACAAAGGTATTACGACGAACAAACCAATATTTTACACTGATTTATTAACGTGTAAAATAAAAATGAGTTTTTAAGTGGCTGTTGTTCGAAGCCACGTCACTCGAAGTTTTGTCTTCTTCAAAAACGCCTAAACACTGCAGACAAAAAGAAACTTTTCTGTTCTTATTCCATTGTTAATGGGACTCGCTCACAGCATATAATCAAATGGTCGTTACTATTTCTGTCTGTTTGGTAAACAAGTGATAACTCGCACTCGTCGCTCTGTGACAGTCATATGTTTCGTCACAGCTGATTAGCTCGTGCTATCTCGAACACGTGTAGTGCTTAAAAAATAAAAAAAAATAAAAAAAATAAAAAAAAGACTGATACAATACGCGACGTTACGTACGAACCGACTTGAAAATGTGTACATTTGTTGTAATGTCAACAGGAGTAATGCTAGATGGTAATACTAGATTTTCACTTGCACGTGCTAATGATTGTCAGTATTTGGCAGTAACGAGACGATAATCAGTTTTACCGCAGATTCGTAGTTTCGTCCTTTGGTCGCCTATAAATATGTGGAGTAATTTTAACTCCTTCTGGATTCAAATCCCAGAGAAGCAACCAAATTCCTTTGCACAAAGGACAAGTTGCCTGACGGGTTAACCTCTCATCAGTAACAACAGACCCCAGTTTGAATATTCGAGGCTCCCGTCAGCGTAAGAAAATTCCTGATTTAGTCATAAGT